ACTACCAGAAAACCCAGGTTGAGAGTTTTTCAGAAATAATCTCTAATCTCTTTACACCCCAGTTCATTATATTGATAACTAATTGTCATTACTATCCATATTTACAAACCAGATTCATAGAACGATAATTTATTAGAATAGGAAAATTTGTTTACCTCTCAGTTAACAATTGGGACTATAGTGAAATGGTCATGATCATTATTAACTGCTATTCATGATAACACTTTTCAAAGTAACAAATAACCCTAATATGTAAACAGTTGTTGATTTTATGTTGTTTTCTAGCCAAATAAAATTTCAGTTAGCTAAAAAAAATTTGTTTTTGTTTTTTGTTTTCAAGGGAAAACTTGAACATTATCAGGATAACTTAAACATTTTCATAGTATGGGACATATTCCAGTATGTTTCTATATAATGCTTTCCTATTTTCATGATTCCGCCTACGATTACCACTCTTTACTTATTTTACTTCAGTTTAACTTATGAATTGTATTTTATAACTTTTTCATAATGTTTCATTAGCTGGATTCATTTAATCGACTTTAAGTGGATATACTTGTATCTGAGTTGTTGTTCATTCTGGGGCTTGAACTCAGTACCGTTCGCTTCAAACGCTGTCACATTTTCCACTAGCTACTAAGTTTATGAACAGATCTAAGCAAACAATCCAAAAATGAATTAAGACTTCACGCCATTATACAAACAAGTGGCTATCAGAACTCAGTAACTAAATAGATAACGCGATTGCGTTAATCGATACGAGTCTCGGAATGAACATCAACTCAGGAATGCAGGTACATCCAGATGACCAGTCGTAAACAGGATGAAATGAGTGTTCTGGACCCCAATGCTAACCACTATCCATAGTGATTATTTCATAGTGCTTGTAACTTAAGACGTTATCAAGGTAATTCGCTTATGATGCACATATGCCAATAAGAGACCGATCAATTACAGTCCTAAACTGCAATGGGAAGATTGAAACAAACAATACAAAAATGAATTATTTCGTGATTATTTTTTAATCTCTTCTACTCTACATACTAAATTCACGTTAAGATTGTAATTAACATATTTTTCTTTTTCCTACATGCATGTGTGACATGAAGAGAGTGGAACTTTCTTGATCATTTTATAATCGTTTTTATTGTTGATCAGTAAGTGATTATCTAACAAGTTATTAGCTCAATGATTTACTGTTACAAAGTTTAATAGGTTAGAAGTAAAGGACTGATTTCATGAGCAAACTTTCCATTACTAGTCATATTCTATCTATTCTATAAAATCTTGTGATATAATAGCTATATCGAGGCGATTCGCATAGGATATATATATATATACCAACTAAGATTGACCAAAATCTAGTCAAAAATATCAACTATGGAATAATTCTGAAACTATTATGAATTGAATGAAGGTGAGAAGAGTTTGTTGAGTTTTCGATAGATCTTGGAGTTATATTGCAGTAAAATCATACTTTATAATTGAACATGGCATTTCATTCATTAAATTATTAACTCTGGATCAAAGGTCACCCATTCATCAAAGAGCGAGCGTATCATGAATAACCAGTAAATTAGTTTATTGATGACAATCCTAAATCTATTCCTCAGTCCTATTCATTCAATGAATCATTATTCTCAAATATGAACAAGCTATATAATTCATATAAATGTTCCCTTGTTAAAGTACATCAGTATATCATTAAAAATATGGATTTATTTTATTTGAACTAAATATATTTTCACTTGTTGACCATCAGAAACTAATTACATACACATAATTCCCTTTATTATCTTAAAAAGAGCAAGAATGAAGATTAGTGCAGAGAATTATCGATCATCATGTTCTTCAGGAGATCTCTGAGTACTTTCGTGATTCTTTTATCAGTTGAATCAGTTAAGTCCTTATTACTTTTATCTAAATTGCATTTCATATGGTCAGTTAAAATTAGCTTCATATTAGAGATATAATCCGTTGTGTTCATTAGGACAACACTTGAACCTTTATCTGACCATTATATCATCACTTTGTTTAATATTTCGTAATGCTGTTTGATGGTCTTTGGATCTTCGTTCTTGCTCTCTTTAAGAAACTAATTAACTATTCTTCTTTTCACATTTTTAAACTAATTAACATAACCAATATCATCAGTCAGCTAAGAACACATATAATGGAAACACTTCAATGAAAGATTTTTAAGAAAATATATTTGGCTAGTTCAATTGTTAATTTAGTTATCGATGTATCACATATTGCTTGGGGCTATATCAGTTCTTAATTACTTCGGAATAAGCTATGTATGAGAAATATTCAAATTATTCAAAATTATTGTAACAGAAGTATAGTACAAAACTGTTTCCAGTATGGGGTTGTGGAGATCATAAAGTTTTTGACTGAGATCATGAATCGAATGTTGTTAGATCATTATTGAAAACCTTGAAGCACTGAACGGCCGTTTCATCTTAATATGAAACTTCTCAGCAATGAGCATCCACGATCCCGCCCACGAGATTTGAACCACAATAGAACGATACAACTGTCCAGTGCTTACAGGTTTTCAATGGTGATCTAACATCAATCAATTCATGATCTGGATCAAAAACAATGCTGTTTACTGGTTCAAACATTAAATTCAAGTTTACTAATGAAATGAAGTAAGCAGCATCAGATATATCACTTTTCTCAAATACATAATCATTTATTATCCTAAACAATCGATTACTTTAGCCAATTGTGCACACACACAAACATGAACATACACATACCCTAATTATTAAGTTACTTACTTACTTACGCCTGTTACTCCTAATGGAGCATAGGCCGCCGACCAGTATTCTCCAACCCACTCTGTCCTGGGCCTTCTTTTCTAGTTCCATCCAATTCTTGTTCATTTTTCTCATGTCTATTTCCGTTTCCCGGCGTAATGTGTTCTTCTTTAGTCTTCCTCTTTTCCTTTGGCCTTGAGGGCTTGCCTTGTGACGCAGTTGGGTGCCTTCCTCAATGTGTATCCTGCCCATTTCCAGCAGTTCTTCCTGATTTCTTCCTCCACTGGGATCTGGTTTGTTCTTTCCCACAGTTGGTTGTTGCTAATAGTGTCCGGCCAACGTATCCTAAGTATTTTGCGTAGACAACTGTTAATAAACACTTGTATCTTCTGGATAATGGCTTTCGTCGTTCTCCAGGTTTCTGCCCCATACAGTAGAATTGTCTTGATATTTGTATTGAAAATCCTGACATTGGTGTTGGTTGATAGTAGTTTTGAGTTCCAGATGTTCTTCAGTTGTAAATATGCTCCTCTTGCTTTTCCGATCCGCGCCTTCACATCTGCATCAGATCCACCCTGTTCATCAATGATGCTGCCCATAATTATTAAGTATATAAGATTAATTCTCAAATGATCAATAAACTTTTATGTATAATTCTGATGAAAATAATTAAAAATCAACACTGTTATTTACTTGTTAGAAAAGAAGAAGAAAAAAGAGAAAGAAAAATGGGAAAGAAAAAAAAGCGAAAGAACAATTCAATAGTGACATCAACAATGCTACAATAAAGAATATGATTGAACTATAACAGACAAATAAACAAGCATTGACACTAGATTATACCAACAGTAAGAAAATTCACCATTTTATCATGAAAAAAAAAACCAAAAAAAAGAAAAGAAAAGAAAATTCGAATCAAAATAAACATGAAATAGGTCGATGAAATTAGCATAAGGATTCTGGAATATCTCTGCCTTATTTATATACCATGCACCTTATAATATAACAGTAATAATAATAATAATAATAGTAATAATAATAATAATAGTAGTATTGGTAATATTAAAAAAAGATTACAATATTTTCCAGTGAATAAAAAAATGTTTTATGCCCCTTTCCTCTTGTTGAGATATTTGACAGTAGATGATGAACTAATAAATCAATTTGACAAGTTTGACAGGCTCTGACTGGACAACTAATTTGACTGTTTCATATTTTGTTTACTTGTCTCTATGTTATTTCATAGGGGGGCAGACAATGTGTATATTATTGTATGCTGAAAGAATAATATTTTTATGTATATTTATGCTTGAATAATCATATAGTGTATAGAGAAATATTATAAACAGATGAACAGATGAATATTATATACATCTCTATATTATCTAACTATACTCTTCATTTATTCTGAATTTTACTTCATTAGGGAATTAATTTCTTAGCTTTGTTTCCTGTAAATATGTATGTTTTTTTCTTACATTTAATGTAATTTATTAGATAGAAACAACTAGATATGCATCATCCAATATGATGTATGTATTACATATAACTAAAGAGAGAGAGATGACAGTATATTAGATAAATAACATAATATGATTGGGAAATATTCACATTTTATCTGAAGTCTGTTGTAAAAACAATTTAATCATGAGAAACGTAGTTGAATGTTATGTATTATAATCTTGTTTTAAATCTTCTGTGAATAGATTGAACTGATTGTAGAGTTATAAATGTGATCGAACAATGACACGGTTGTAGAATGTCCGTCCTCTAGGCTATGGCTAAGTTCAGTTTATATATATATATATATATATACTTAGCATGGTCACACATTTTCCGTGAACCATCTATACCAATAAACTATTCAACTATGAGAATTCATTACCTGCGTGTTTGATGCAATCTAGTGACTGTGGATACAAAACATTATGCTTATTTAGTATAGATCATAATTTACGTAGACAGATTACATTTTAATTAGTAATTGATTATTTTCAAAGAGATGTTAAGGCTCTTTTTAACACACCTCAAAACGGTTTATTTTTATAGTCCTCTCTAAAAGGTACCATAGATATGAAAAACTTTGTCGATAGAGCCATAGATTATTATCGTTTGAAATAAGTAAATAATATTTTTAATAGAATGATAACCAACGTATTTATTTATACGAAAATATTTAACTACTTGTGAGTAGTACAAATATTATAAAAACATTTTATTATCTTTTTGTAGGTTAGATACGATAGCTAAACTTCTACATTCACATCCATTAACTCTGTCTGGTAATTCACGGAGTTTATATAATCCAATCATTGAAATTTATGCTGAAAACAATCAATCACCATCCATTGAAATGAATGCAGAAACTATGATACCATGGAATAATGTACCAGGATTAAATTATCAGAATGAAAGACAAATTGTTCCGTATGTGAACCATGAAATTCATGCTGGCTCTAGTAACAATAATAATAATAATAATAATAATAATCAAAACCATCCGTCAGTTTATGGATGGAGACGACAGATTTTCGATGTAGGTTTGTTCTATTTTCAACTGTCTTTTATGACGTGATATTTTAAATAAAACGGCGAACATTTAGTATAATATTTATACCTATACACTACGACCATAGTAAACTTTCGAGGTTAAACTTCTTTCTTTTAATTAACTACTATAAATATCATGAAAAATGTAGTTCAAGTGTGAACTGATGTATTTCGAAAGTAAACTTATTTAAATGTTTCATTTCAAATGATTGGTTGGGATTAGTTTTGAACTTGTCAAATTAAACACTGTCAGTTTGAAATACGTAGGAAATAAGTTTTCGCCAGAATTTAGATGGGATTTACTTATAAAATATAAGTACGGGCCTAAAAATTAAAAAAAAACTCCAAGTAAATTTGAATCGTTTCGCCTAATTGTTATGAATAACTCCTTAAAACTAGGACATCCTAGAGTCTTGATCAAAACTAATGGATGGTAGTGACTGAGTGGGGAGCCTGAATGTTTACATTAAACTATGCCTTACATGGAATCTTTGTATATTGGGATCATGTACACTAACAATGTATTAAATATTGTTGTGAGATAGTAACTCACTGAAGACAGTTGTGGACATGTCGCTCAATTTTGTTGATTGGTTGAAGTTAGACATTAACAGCGTTGGATGCCGGCCAGCTCAGTGGTCTAGATGTTAAACACTCGCGCACGAAACCGATAGTTCCTGGGTTCAAATCTCGCGGGGCGGGGTTGTGAATTCACACTACTGAAGAGTTCCACAATAGGACGAAATAGCCGTCCAGTGCTTTCAGGTATTCCATGATAGTTTAGCTTCAATTGACTGATAATGTCAACTATTAAATTATTAAATATTTCTTAACCTCCAATCAATTTACTGATAAATGGTGAACAGATAAATTGAAAACTACAGTGAAAATCCACACCAGTTCTAGATTTTTGTTGATTTGATTTAAAACGTTTTCATATTAATCAAGTTCTTGAATCTAACAAACTAAAGAATATAAATGGACCACTTTAATTATTATGTAGTATATGAGCTTGATGTAATTGTGAACAAACCAATGTTGATAATATCTTCCTAACAATTTTATAAATCTGCCTTTTTCTAATTTTATCTATAGCCTATCTCACATAATACAGCATGGATAGAACATCATCTCAGACAACGTATACAACGTTACAAACAATGGTTATCACCAAAACAATGGAAACAATTTTTAACAGATGATTCTACAACTATTGGCAGTCGAATGAATGCACCGGCTAAATTTAATCTTGCTTTATTTGAAGCTGCAGTAGTTGGTGTAAGACGTGCAGTAGCTGAATGTCGTTATCAGTTTCGGCATGAAAGATGGAATTGTAGTCAAGTGCTTGATGATGAAACTGCTTTATTTGGAAACATTTTACTGAAAGGTAAGAATAGAATTTTTCGAATTTGAATTTGATATATCCAAGATGTTATATAATTAAGTTACTATTTATGAAACATTTCTATGAATTATAACCTGTATAAACTCATTAATGTTACTCTGATTCAGTTCTGTAATTGTTTCACCAGATAAAAGAATATTCTCCATCTGTTTTCTCATTAATAAATAACTAAGTAGGCAGTGAGTGATGTTCGATTTTCCTTGATTCTTAATTATTTCACAGATTGAAATCATGAGTCAATAGAAGCTAGACCACCATGGCAAACCTGGAAGCACTGGACGGCCATTTCGTCTCAGTATGGGACTCCTCAGCAATGCGCATCCACGATCCCGCACCCCACGGGACCCTAACCCAGGACCTACTGGTTTAGCGCGCGAGCGCTTAACCATTAGACCACTGAGCCTGCATCCAACGGCCGTCCAGTGCTTCCAGGTTTTCCATGGTGGTCCAGCTTCAATTGACTCATGATTTCAACCTGTGAAATTTCTAAAAATCTCCACAAAACCCATTCTGATCTTAATTATTTCTCAATTTACACCAATTAATGATGAAAACAAAATCCACAATTCATGATATTTTCATTACTGTTATTATCTTAAATGACGAAGAATTTCAATATTTTAAACGTATCTGTTAATTTTTTACCTAGATAAATTGTTATCAGTATAGGGATTTGTGAAGATTGTAGTATTATTATAGTTGAAATCACAAGTTGATCTAAGTTAGACCACCATCAAAAATCTGGAAGTATTGGACGACTGTTTCATCCCAGTATAGGATTCTTCAATAGTGCATATCCACGATCTTGGACGCGAGACTCTAACCTAGGACCTTCGGTTACGCGAGAATGCTTAATCTCTAAACCACTGATTTATTGAACTTACATAGTCTGATAATACAGTATCTTTTTAATACTTTCCTAACAATACATTTGATTTATATGCAATTTGTTCAGTAACATCTTAGATATTAAGATTGTTTCCTAGTTTATGGACATAACTATCCCTGTAGCAATAACGTCAATTAGAAACAGATGATTATTTAAACATATGAATCCTATAAAAATGGATTGGAGTTGATATTGTTTTCGTTTTAGATCATGATGGTGATAAATAAATACATGGAGAAACGATTTATGATTAAATATTTATTAAAACTTTGGGAAAACTCAGAAAACACAAACTCGTGGAAGATATGTATAGAGATAACTTTCTAAAGGAAATAGCTCTTTGGAATATGTTGATGAGGAGTCTGAACACTGTTAGAATACGACAAAACTTAGAATACTATTAATAAGATGGTTGAAGATCTTAACCTTGGAAAACAAAGAGAAATTGAACAGTTTAACTGTTATCGACCGTAATTATTCTGAAATAAATAAGACTGATAATATCGAGATGTTTTTAAGTTAAAGTTATTATTAATTGGACAGACTACTTAGACAGCTTAATACGTAACAGATTATCAGTGAGTAATGGTTCATTGTTTTATAATTCCTAAAATACCGGGTCTGTTGTGAGATAGTAACTCACTAACGACAATGGTGGATATGTCGCTGGATTTCGTGGATTGTTTGAAGTTAGACATTAACACCACTAGATACCGGCTCAATGGTCTGTGGGTTAACCGTTGGCATGTGAGATCGAAGCTCCTGGGTTCGAATCCCACGAGTGGGATCGTGGATGCGCACTGCTGAGGAGTCCCATACTAGGTCGAAATGGCCATTCAATGCTTCCAGGTTTTCCATGGTGGTCTAGCTTCAATTGACTCATGATTTTAATAAAAAAAAATGAAATATCTTTGTTTTATCAGATTGTGAGGGATTATTCCATCTCGGAAAAAAAGAATATTTTATTCGAATATATTTAAAACCAATCAGTAGGATCTTTAGAAAGCCTCTTAATCGATAAAATTATCATATCAGTAAAAAGTAAGATTTCGCATTTAATCAAGTGAAAATCATATGGGACTGGAAATATATTAGAATTCGAGTTTAAAACAATCAAGCACTTCATTTAACAGTATTCGGCTAAATGGTAATGTCTGTGATTGTAGCATTGGGTTATAAGAATTTGTTAAAAATCGCTAAGACTATTAGCTAATGAATGTCAACAAACACCAACAATTTACACTTTACAAATGCTTCTCTACCAAAATCTTGGTTTCCTTGACACTTTAGGTTTGTAGTCTGAAGGATTCTGATCTACGTTATATAGCACATCAGCAAATGGATAGTGTCACTACTAAGTTAGTTAAACTATAACCACTTATCAGTAAGACTTAATTTTTATACACTTAAATTCATCATTAGACATCAATCAATCGTATTTTATGGTTTTTACCGGTGTTTAAAATCTATTGATCAAATCATGCAGTGTTATAGCATATTTATATATTAAAATGGACGGAATTAGGTTTGAGTGATGCTGATTAGAATTTCAGTCTCTTGGCTTGATTACGATCGAGTAATGATTGCTTAGAAATCCTATCCATGCATCAATTTTTACTATGAAGTGATGTCAGAGGATAGAATAGTCTATCAGCAAAATATGAATGATTTTATATAATGAAATCATACACTTATATACAGAATATTTTACGATATTGGTTGTTATCCTATTGTGATGATACTTTATTTAGGATGGCATGAATACTGTGATTATCAGAATGCGGTTGAGGAGATTGTTGAGGTCTAATTGATATCATTAATCGATCAATTTTAGACCACCATTGAAAACCTTGAAGCATTGGATGGCCGTTTCATCCTAGTATGGGACTCCTCAACAGTGCGCACTCACGATCCCACTCGTGGGATTCGAACCCAGGAGCTTCGATCTCACATGCCAACGGTTAACCCACAGACCAGTGAGCCAGCATCTAGTGGTGTTAATGTCTAACTTCAACCAATCCACGAAATCCAGCGACATATCCACCATTGTCTTCAGTGAGTTACTATCTCACAACAGACCCGGTTGAATTCCACTGGTCACGGCTGCTCAATAGAACTCCAAGAAATAACTCTTGAATCCAGTTACCAGTTAGCACATGGTGACTATTAACAGAAAAGGCCACCCAGTACTTCTTGGTTTTCCGTGGTGGTTTAGCTTTAATTAACTTGTGAATTCAACTATTAAATTACTACAAACTCCACTAAACCCCCTTCTGATAATTTATTTCAGCTAGTTTTGTGACTCCATGATTCTGTTTTTTAAGTGTTTAGTAAAATTTACAGAAATCTATTTCTTAAATGACTGAAAGAAATCATAGTAATTAATTGAAGTTTAGAGTGAATTAATACACATATACAATACAACACTATCATATTTTATCTTAAGGTATACCACAAACTGCATTTATTTATTCAATTATCAATGCTGGAATAGTTCAGTCTGTAGCTGAAGCATGTTTAAATCAAATCGATAATTGTCCATGTAATAATCGAGGTAGACAAGAACCATTTTCAGATTGGCAATGGCAAGGATGTGATCATAATATTCATTATGGTAGAAGATTTTCACGACGTTTACTCGATACAATGGAACGTGGTTCACATATAAGATTTGAAATGAATTTACATAATAATGGTGTTGGTCGACAAGTAAGTTTCAAAATTAAGTTATAAATTACTGAATTGTCATGTTTGCCACATATTTTTTCACAATATATACGCAGAATAATAGTATTTATGAGACTAATTTATTGTTGTATAGACATTTAGTATATCAGTGGCTAAAGAAGCCACTGAAAGGAAGCAACACTACGCAATAATTTAAGGATTTAACTACACACTCTATAAGGTGATTCTGATCGTTTGGTCAGACAACTAAACTAAGTAAACAAATCTTAGTAAAGATACTTCATTTGATACTTTAACCTAGTAGGTACATAAACAACAGGTATTCTAACATTAATTGTGGATCTTGGATGCGCACTGCTAAGGAGTCCCATACTAGGACGAAATGACCGTCCAGTGCTTCCAGGTTTGCCATGGTGGTCTAGTTTTATTTGACTCATGAATTCAACTATTAAATTAATTCTCATGTTTGAAGTTTCCAATGTTGTAATGAGTCAGTAATGTATGTATATAACCTCATTATGCTGTGGTATTTTTAAAGAGCTATTTCTCTATACTTTCTATGAAAAGCTAACGAAAACAAGAGTATTCAGATAGATCTATTGAACTTTGCATTTGAGGGTGATGCGATTTGGTTTGAATAACAGTGACACGCAAACTATGAAATTTCAAATCTTACCTCTGAAATAACACGGAAATGCGTCAACTTAATGGTACAAAACTATTTTCTTTTATAAATACAAACTCTCCCACCAAAAACTTAACAAATCATAGAATTTTAACCGCATAGAACAATGATGAATGGTGGCTAGCAGTGGAACCCAGGATGCCTGTTTTGTCCTAGTCGGAACTGGGTGTACTTGCATCTCTGAGGTGACGTTCACTTAGAGACTCGTACCCAATGCCGCTCACTTCAAACGCCACCGAGTTATCCACTTAATTTCTGAGTCCTGATGGCCACTAGCTTGTGTAATTGGATGAAGTTTAAACTCACTTGGTATTGTTTGCTTGTATTTTCACATTAATGTTTAAGACTGAAATTGGTCAGCCTCTTATTGGCATATGTTCCTCAATCTTGCCTTAATTCATAAACTCTATAAGCAAAGATAGATGGTGGTTTTAAGCTAACGGTACTGGGTTCCAGTCCCGGATTGAACATCAACTCTGGGATCCAGGTACATCCAGCTGACAATTCCCAAGTAGGACGAAACGCACGTCAAACTGGATTCCACTGCTAGTCACCATCTATCATTGCTCATGAAGCTTGTGACCTAAGGCAATACTCATATTATGCACATATGCCAACAAGAGATTGGTCAATTTCAGTCCTAAACATCAATGGGAAAATACAAGCAAACAACTTCACATAGAACAAAGTTTGCTAACATTAACCGAATGTTTTTTCAAACAGATTGTGGCTAGTAGTAAAATCTAGAATGTAGGTTTTATCCTCTTTAGGACAAGTCAGTTAAATATACCTGGATCCCAGGGTTAACCTTTATATTGAGACTAGGTTACGGAATTCATAATTTCAGTACTCACTAAAGTTCAGATAAGAAGTCAGAAATAAAATAAATGATGTTAATAAACTCTATCAGTATCACACAGTTCTTTCAATTCATTTTCTTTTATACTTTTGAGTTATTATTATTGAACATTTATCACCTTCCAGTTGTTTAAATGTATCTAAATACCTACACAGTTTTAACTTAAACTTAGTTTTGTTTTATCTTTAGTTAGTTATTAAAAATATGGAACGTTATTGTCGATGCCATGGAACAAGTGGATCGTGTACCTTAAGAACCTGTTATCGAAGAACACCACGAATGAGAACACTTGGAACTTTGTTAAAACATATATATGATCATGATTTAGTACAAGTTAAACTAGGTGAGATATAATAGGCATTTATTGTTTATGTAAATTAGCATTTAATACTTCATAAATAGGAAACTATTTATTGTTTCTCAAAAGGAAATCTGACTAATAAAAAGATCTGAATAAATAATCTAAGCATCATCAGACTAACTCTCTGACCTAAATGCTGACCAACCTTCCATATTACTACAACTACAGACATCATATCTGATTGTTATAAATATCCAAGACAAGTTTATGTTTCCATTTGTTTAATTTTCAAAGTATTTCAACACCACCTGGAGCTCCTATGGGGCTACTGCCGATACTAAGCCCGGATAAAGGAGGAGGGTTAGGCACGGAGTTAGCGACCCCAAATAACTCGCTAAAAAACGCTAACCAGGAAAAATTATTTCAATACTACAAGATACATATTCATCTATGATAACTGAATGAAGTGGAAGAAAATTAGAGAAAATTTAGCGAATTGTATAATAGTACTTATAATAAATTTTGGCTCATATTAGTTTACAATAAAACACACAAGTATTGCTTTATTTAACGAATTTATGTTTCATTAATTTTTCAAAAATCTCTATCAGAGAGTGAAACATGTCGCTATGGTGATAGTTTGTCGTCGCTAGATAATTGTCAACTTGATGAATGTGGATGATCAAATACTTCAACGTTTTGATTATAATTTATCAGCAATTAAGGAAAATTTGAAAAAAAAAGTAGTACGGATGATAGATTAAGAATAGAATATAGGATGGGGGGGAGTTAAAGCTATGATAGAATATGAGTGATTGAACCTGTTATCTTTGTACACACAGGTGGGGTTTGAATTAATGAATTTCTAAAGCTTTTTCTGTACATAAGTTTTAATTTTCGTATTATCTTACAGCCAAATTATTTGATTTTCATGGATGACTTTGAAAGCGGTTTCTTGTGGAGCTATGTGTCTATAATTTACGAGATGTTTCAGTGTTGAACTGCTAACTAACTTCATGAATTCTTTCGACACTCGGGCAGGACGATGTTTGGAAAAGACGTTTTATTCGTAGTTGTCCTTAATTCTACATTAGTGACACAACAGATGCACTAACTGACAATGAATAAAATTGTTAGTGATAGGGATATTTTAAATAATTAAGCTTAGTTAGATTATCGTCAAGTTTCCAACACATCGTTATATGTTTATCCAGAATTCAAACAATCATAATTAATATTTTGATGCGAATAGTTCGGCTAATGAGACATCATACTTTTCATGAAGCGATTATAGAAGTCCACTTAATTTGTAGATGGTATTCGTCACGGACCAATCTCAGTCGAAGTACCATTGAAAACTATAGAATATTAGATATTAGTCTTGTCTTAGTCTGGAACTCTTCAGGAATGCACATCTACGATGTCTTCGGGGAGCAGAGCTCATGACTTTTACGCACAACGGCGAGTACTTAAACACTAGGCCATTTTGTGTTTGTAATGCTCCGGTTTGAAAAATTGAAAAAAGAAATTTTCTATAGTTCATTCACTACATGAGAACATGTTAACAGAGATGGAAGATTTGTCATTATGGGTGTTGGAGACAGTCCTATAATCTTCAGTCCAAACCAATCCGGTCTATCCATAGATAAACACTTTTGGTTATTAAACTGGATATATAACAACTGGAAGTTGTCCACAGTAGTTGTAGCAAAGTAACCTACTGTTTAAACTATTTATTAATGTTATAAACACATGAAAATAATACATTTGTAATATCATAATAAGTAGAATAATTAAATTTTTAAATTTTCTGACGTTTCGTGACTCAGTGTAAGCAACTTCTTCAAAGAACAAATAAACATATTAAGTTAATGGTTGAATTCATGAGTTGATCTGAGCTAGACCACCCTGAAAAACCTGGAAGCACTAAACGGCCGTTATAGTGGTCTAGCCTAAATTGACTCATGAATTCAGCCATTAAATTAGTACAATTTCCACAAACCCCATTCTGACAAAAGTTAAATTAACTCAAGTTTAAATTGTACAAGAGAACGAGCAAGAATATTTGGTGAGATCAACCAAGAAACAGGTCTGACCAAGTCAATGCTATGTCATTCCGGTCAAGGTGATTTATGTGAGACATGTTTGCATATTTGTGTGTGTATGTATGTATGTATGTTAAAGGATGAAACATGTAACATTTGTGGTGAGAAGGGATAAAGATGAATTTTTGTGTTTGTTACTGGTGTGAGATGTGAGTAGAATCAAACATAGTAGCTCTAATGGATGGATGGATGGTTGAAGTCAGATGGATAGTGAGGTGTTCTTCTCTATTGAGGGTAGTGGGATCAAGCAATAAATGGAAAGCTGCAGTTACTCACCTTTCTTTGTAGTTGAAAAATTCTCTTTGTATTATTTTGATGTTTTTAATATCTACTTGTTTGTTATTGAAAATGACATGGACTGTTATCGCTGAATTAATTTTGAGTGTTTCCAGTTCTATGGGAATATTCGGTGGTTTTTTGTGTACTTAAAGTGAATTTTGGTTCGAGTCAATATTTCACAAGATGACTGTTCAATATAGAATGCATCACAATGGACACATCCTAATTTGTAGACACAATTCTGTATTGACATAAGAAGGAACTAAAATGTTTTGAAGGGATTTCGTTGTTTTGTAATGTATTTTAATTCGCTGTTTTTTTAAGACTCCTTGAAGTTCATCTGTCGTACTATGGCTGTATGGTAATACTATAGTACCAATCCATGACATTTCATTCGGATTATCATTTAGCAGTAAAATGTCTCATTTTATTACTATTTTAACGACCATCATAGGAAAATTTTTAAATTGCAAGTATTAATCATGTGCTTTCATTCCTTATGTTTATTCTCTTCAGATGTAATAATCTTGTTTGCTCTTTGAAATAAATTTAGGGCTAGTGAGATCTTCGCACTAAACAAATGTGCTGAGTTGAAGTCTATATGACAATTTGAGTGAGTTAATTTTCGGTAGATAGTTAGATTTAGAACTCCATCTAGATTTCTTTTAGCAAATCTGCCTAAAAAATGGTAGTTCGCCGTCCTCATTTTCATTCTCGTATGTAAATTTAATGTGATATGAAAGTGTTTTGATTAGTTCAGAAAAAGAAGTTGGGTGAATCTTTTTTCATGACTACAAGAGTATCATCTACATATCTGAACCAAATTCGTGGTTTAATTTCACTAGCGAAAATATATGATTATATGTGTGACATAATCATGTTGGCTACAATCGGGGACACAGGGAATTTCATTGCTATTCCGATTGTTTGCTTGTATAATGTCCTGTTAAAAGTAAATACGATTAAAGTTAAACACAGTCTTAGGGATTTCATGATAAGACTGATGTTTTTGTAAACATAGCTCACACTTTATGTATGTAGTTCTATGTTCTAGTCTGTGAAACATTTCATTTGAACAAAGTGACTTTACAATAATATAATAGTATAGTATTCTTAAACAATCTGTTCTGAAAGCATTACTGTAGTGGACAAGGATACCAGTGGGGACAATCGAATGTATTTGTCATGAAATTACAGAGCATCTAAATAAAATCTGAGAACCATATCATAAGTCGTTAATTTGCAAAACATCAATCCATCATATCAAACGTGACTGTTCCTGTTGCAAACACCAATCCATTGTCTCAGATTTTATTGTTCACACGTTTTCATTACCAATTGCGTTCCGTTCCCATTCTTTCCTCATTGACCTTCTACTGAAATACATTCTATACCTGACCATCATTATATACTACTTGTGTGGAATATAAGTAACCCACACAACACTATTACTAAATGCATTAGCAATAAAAGTAGAAGATCAGTAAACTTTCATATATTTTATATTTGTATCCAATCTAACTATCTATTATAACAACTTCTTACAAAATTTTACTTTTAGATTCCAGTAGTCTGCGATCGACCCGTAATACTTATGAAGATAAGCAAGAGACTTCTTCCTCTACATCAAATCATTTTAAACATTCATATTTAGATAAAGCTATCAAATTTATACCTTATCAGAAAAACATGAAAAAACAATTATCCCCAATATTATCATCTATATCCAATGACTATTATGATAGAAACGCCAATAATGTAAAGAAAACTCCCAAAAAATCCAATTTGATTATTATAAACCCAACAAAAACAACAACTATTCATTCACCCATGTTAACTAAATCCAATGAACTAATGAATCATTCAATACATCCACATTTATCCCAATTAGTTTACTATGAATTAATAAATGAGAAATTGTTTTGTCATTCTAATTCATTTTATCATATATTAGGTACAAAAGGTCGTTTATGTAATTCATCTTCAATTTATATGAATAATTGTCATCATTTATGTTGTGGTCGGGGTTATATAACACATCATTATTATATTATGGAATCATGTCATTGTAAATTTATATGGTGTTGTCGTGTTGAATGTCAACAATGTTTAGTATTAAAAAAAGTAGAAACTTGTATTTAATATGATTCATTATACTACTTATAATAACTTTCTACATCTACTGTAGATTCAGAATTTAAGTAGTATACAATAACTTAGATTATATCATAAATTTAAAAGAAATAAATATTCTAATAGAATGAATTCATTAAATTTATTTCTACCTCGAAAATATAATTCATACTATTCAATTATCAATATTTGTAGGTCATTTTGATAAATTGTTTTTTGTTTTAATTTGTTTGCTCTATTTAATATATACACATATCTTCATCGTTATTATTATGATTACTCGAGTTTATTATTAATGTATTTGGCTTGTGTATGCGGTAAATCACTAATCATCATTATTCCTAATTGATCACTTTCAATGAGAATCATATGCATATATTTCGTTGTTTTCTTTTGTATTAAGCACCATGATTTATTTGTCATGCACAGTATTAACTAAGAACTTTTCTTTCTTTTTTAAATATTAAATAAATAATCGGCACACATATACACATATTTATCATGGTGTCTTTTGTTTTGGTTTCTTTTTTAATTTGAATTATGCAATAAGTTCATCTGATATATGTTGAGTCAGTTTTCCGAAAACTGCAATGGAGCCTCCAAAGGCCCTAAAGGAGCCGAAGAGTTCTAGCCAATCAGAACATGATGGAGGTTTCTAGAATATCAATATGGCATGCTACTGTTGGTCAGTAGCATAATATGTCTTTTAGCGGATTGGCCAAAATATGATGTTGATTTAACAGATATGAACATCCATAAATATCCGTGTTTTTCTGTACAAAAATGGATCTTTGGATTAAAGTGTTGTTTCGCTTACTTTGCACCTTTCTCTCGAGTCCAGGTTGCTGTGTACTTCTAGATTGCGGGTTACCAGAATAGCTTAGGAACCGAATAAAGCGTTTAAATTTACAAGATTTATCAATATATAGATAGATCACCGTTGAAAATTTGAAAGTAGTGAACGGTTGTTTCGTCCTATTATGGGACTCCTCGGATATCTATCTATCTGGGGGGAAGGGATTTGTTTAATTCTTATTAATGGTGAAATGATTTTAACCATAAACTGATATTATCTGTAAAATTTAATTGATATCAGAGAGTAGTGTATATAATGCCTATAATGCTTGTGAATGAAGGCAATATCAAGGTAATATGCACATGATGAACATATGTCAATAAGAGACTGATTGATTGCAGTTCTAAACATCAATGAGAGGATTCAAGTAAAATAATACCAAGTGAATTTAAACTTTACACGATTACATAAGCTAGTAGCTATCAGGACTCAGAAATTAAGTGGGCAACGCGATGGCGTTTGAAGCAAACGGTAATGGGTATGAGTCCCAGAGTTAACATCAACTCAGAGGTGTAGGTACATCCAGCTGACGAGTCTCAAATGGGACGGAACGGGAGTCCTGGATTACACTGCTAGCCACTATCTCTCTTTGCTTGTAGTGTATGATTATTTAGTTTTAGTTTATAATGAGCATCTGCTAGCACAAACTTGACCTATATGACTAAATATACACAAAAATGTCACTATTAATTGTTTTCAGTAGTCATTAAAGATAAACAGTTATTTTTGCAAAATTGACATATTACAAAAACATCATTAATAAATAATCATAGTAACTGTGGCAATTCAGTTTATGCCTTTCTAGACAATCAACGTTTATTCTCATCCTCAGAGTTTAATAGCGAAACTGTTACTATCACTATTATATAAGTAACCATTGTCTACCGAATTGTGATCATATTCAAATGATTTTGACACACTTTTTAGCCAAAGTTAATCTTTAAAGATGATAAAGACAATCTTTATGCAGGCAGTGTACATTTTGTTTTATAATGATACTTTTCAACATTTCACTACCTTGTCACCAACCGACTAGCTTTGGGCACTGGCCAAATGATCCTGAAGTGATTAAGTAATAAGTTGTTAATTTAGTTACTTCACACTTTATACACTTTACTAAGTTATAGTTCCTTCTAAATGTTATTGAAATTTTTTTTATTTTTGAAATCCCATTCATGTTTTGCAACCCAACTGTTGCTTGCAAAGCTTTATTTTATGCTATTAGTGTTGTTCTGAAGAATATATTGTATTAAAAAGCATACTCATCTACGTTTATTTGATTAGTGGCAGATATCCTGTAGGACTGAGTCATTTACACTAACTATTTTCCGATTAGTAGTCATTGTCATGTTTGTCTAGTCTTTAGCGCAAACCTAACATGAATACATAAGGTCGAGTTACTTCAACTAATAACCGAATTGAAGCTTGGTCAGTAGGACTCGACTAACACTAAGGACTAAACAAATTGGCACTGGTACACCCCAGTGATCAGTATACTTATGTAGAATGATTATTTAGAAAACCAATCAGAATTTGTTTTAGATTATGGTTTGCCAACTGAACTTGATAGATTACAGACATTTGAGAATTTCATTTCTCCATTTCTAATGCGTTGTGAATCAGGTTACTTGGTATATTTTAGGTTTGGAAATAAATCGTGTAATGCTCCAGTTGATGTGTCTTCTCTCACTCGCGTGCCTATCAGCTAGTCAGGTGATAGAATAGTTTTCGTCTCTCTACCCCAAGCAGTTAGTCTGACTTCAAACTCACACATACTAGCCTCAAAGTTAAGCCAGTCAGCCTATCACGTCAAGATCTTAATTTAGATTAAACAAGACGTAACAAAATTTATAAAGATAATTAGTGTTGTCAGCATGTATACGGTCCTTAATAATTGTTTCCAACTCGAAAATTCATGTGGATGTTTAATTGTAGATTTCTTATAAAATTGACATCTGATAGTCGTTAGGATGTTGATTATGTTGTGACAAGATCCAAATCTCAAAAAATACCAAAGCGCATAATAATATTTTCAGAATGGGTTTTGTGGAGATTTTAGAAATTTCACTGGTTGGAATCATGAGTCAGTTGAAGCTAGACCACCCGCGGGGGGGGCGGGATCGTGGATGCGCATTGCTGAGCAGTCCCATACTAGGACGAAACGGCCGTCCAGTGCTTCCTGGTTTTCCATGGTGGTCTAGCTTCAATCGACTCATGATTCCAACCAGTGAAATAATACTTTCGTTTATTTAGTAATAAACATCTCAGTAAAAATCATTTTAGTTATTTTTCTACCTTTGATAGTTATTTATTTTGTAAAACTAAGTGGTTAATTAATCAGTTTGATATCATGCAGATCCCACTTATTTACTTATTAAGACCAAAATTTATGTATTTTTGAATTTGAATATCAAAAATATAAAAAGGGACTCGGCTAGCTTTTCTCGGATTGTAAGGTTTCTGGAATCAATAGCTGTCACATTACTATATACGGGGTTGATTGGTTCCAATATGGAAAATAATAAATAGAAATTTTGAATGCTACGAGAAGACAACTGTTTCATGAAGTAAATAAATAAGAAAGTCAATTAAATAATCATATAGACAGTGAGAGCAGATAAACTTACGTTCACAGACACTTTTTAGCCTGATCTTGTATAGATGTTATTTCCTATTTTATGGTGTGATGCGTTTTGTTTGGCTGGTATATAAACCAAGTATTTTGAAATAAATGATTCGCATAGTGAAAGCTGTTCTGGATTCAACTAACAGGGTTAGGAGGAAGAAGGACTAATAAGGACACTAGGTTGTTCATACCGGTCGAACGTCATTGATTTGTTATAGTACTAAGATTAAATAAATAATATTTCGATTGACGAATAAATCACGTGATAATTAGCTGAGCTTAAAGTCAACAGAAGGAAAATGTTGTGAACTTTTGAGTGAAGTCATGAGTGCGTTCTAGGATTTAAAAATTAATTTAAGGGTGATTAGATCGAGTTGTACTCGTAGATAGTGAACTACACATTTTTGGGTCTATCCACAATGTGAGCTGGTGTCCAAGTAGTCCGTGGCTACCAGTCTTAGATATAACTATGAGAAGACAATCAGTAGCGAGTTTCTGTGGAGAAATTAAGTTGATTGTAACCCATAAGGTTTATTGTGCATCATACGTCATTTTGGCAGCTTACGTTTTAGTCTATTGCCCACCGTTTATTTATCTATTTTTCTTAGGTCCATTACGTTTGTTATGAACCTTCATTTCTAGGTATGTTTGAGGTATATGAGAGTCTAGGGTGTCATTGATAACAACCTAAAACAAGAGTAAACCTTAAATAGTACCTGAGTTCAGGACGTCGAGTTCTCTAAGTAATTTCGGAGTAAGGATAGATGTGAATTGGATAAACTTATCTTCACAACCTTTGTTAAGAGGGGTGTGTCCAATACTTTGCATTCAAACGCTTCTCTGATATAAAATAAAGCACTGTGGTTCATTATCAATAAGACAGGATCAAATTTCCATCCGTAACAATCTAATAGAATAATAACCGTTTCCAGTAGACCTTCAGAGAGTGACAATGATCAACTGCCTCACGCCTTGACCTTGAATTTAGCCGAACGAGATTATTACTAACCGTCCGACATCACATACTGTCATGATTACACGGTGGGAATCAGTCTCCCACAGGTGTTATTGTAAGCCAATCCTTGAGCTGTCAAAAACAGTTTTCGCTTGACGAAAGTCAGGAGAAGAAGGCCTTTCGGTTTAACAAATTTAATCTACCTCTGAAGTTGTTATGACCTTGATCTGTCTACTCTAGATTAAGACCTTGACGCAATAGGCTGATCGGTTTAACCTTGAGGCTAGTACGCGTGAGTTCGAGGTGGGTAGAGAGAAGAAAACTATTCTATCACCTGACTGAATGGCAAGCACGGTAATGAGAGAAGACAACGCACAATAACTTGGAAAAATACAATTATGTCCAAAACTGGGAATCAGGGTAGAAAATAAAGTGCAAAATATTCTGTTTAAATTACAATAGCTTCGGGACAAAAAGGGGTATTGCAATGAATGATACATCGAATGAAAGCTCATGTTCTGTAGAATAAAATAGAGACAAAAACAAATGTCAGTCTTTTACAAGCTTTGAAT